CTACACAAATGACTTTTATGAGTTAAGTTAAGATTTAAATTTAAAAATTTGTTTGATCGTTAGTTAAATAAGTTTAAATAATTTAATTTAAATATAAGATCGTAACTGTAATTGAGTAAATTGTTCTTCGGTGTGGCAAGCAAACATTTTGTAATATTTTATAATAACATCCGTCTTTTCAAGTAAATTTCTCTCCTCGTGTTATTATTAATTAGTTTTTTAGTTAGTATTAACTATTACTATTAGTTAGCTGTTAGTACAATACATTTTAAATGATGATATCATATTTCTCAGTTTTACCATAAAATTTTTTGTAAACCAAAAAAAAACAATTTTAAAAATTCTATTATATTATAAAAAGATTTTTAAAGTAAAATCAAAATTTAAGATGAAAAATTAATAATTTGTATTTTTTTTAATTTTTTTTCTTTTTCTTATTAAAATTTTTCAGTGACACCAAAATTTATTGTGTTGATTTTTTGGCTTGAGCAGCTACTTCTGATGTTAAAATTAGGTCTTAGTTGTGTTGTTGCATAATGGCTAATCCTAATGGCTGAGAAGAGTTGAAATTAAAATTATGACTATGAATTGAGAAAAAACATTGTTCAGTCTTACACAATTTTATACATCTAGTTAAATTTTACTATATAATTTTCATTGTAATATTTAGAATTTTAGGTAAGGTTTTTCCAACAATGTTCTGTGCATTCACATACTAAATAATCACCTCTGAAAGGGTGAGTTGTGTTACTGCTACTAAAAGCTACTCTCTAGCTGAAGACACTTTTTGGTTAAATCTTAACTCGATCCAATGAAAAGAAAATGGGACATTGCTTTTCATCATGTTTAAAGTCACAAGTGTCATATAAAAACAATTCAGAGTTTTCAAAAGTTAAATTATCATCTCCTCCTCAGATGGACATGTACAACGTCATCATTGAATATGATAAGGATAAAAATGCTGTGGTAAGCGATATAGTTCTTTTTTATTTAAATTTATTTTTTTAGTGATCACAAATAATTTCATAAACTTAGTACTGTAATGGCAGTTATCAAAATATCAAGATGTGTTGTACACATCTTTGTGCATAGCAATGTATCACTATTTCCCAGTTTACTTATTGACTTGTTTATTTTGATACTTTTTTAAGTATGCCAAAAACTTCTAATTTTCAATTAATTTAATATATTCACTCCTTAATTTTTAAATCAAAATTCAAGAGGTAAGTAAGTAGTTTACAAAAAAATTTTTTTTTCATAAGAAACCAAAACCAATTGTTGATATGAAAAATCCATCTCCATTGACAAGTGACACAGTGAATGAAACAGGAGATTTCATCAACAACAACCTGCATTTTAGCTCCAAACTCTCAAAAACATCCCTGTCAACCGCCTCAGGCAACCTGTCCATGGGCAGTAACAAGCGAACTGACAACTTTCCTACAGGTTCTCAATGTGGTTTAACATTTTTTGTTGCTTTTATATTCACTTTTGTTAGTTTTTAAATTGTATTATTTGAAACCAGTTTGTTGAATTGAAATGCTCATTTGAATATTGAGTCACCATTGAAGAACGTAATGTTTGAAATTTGTTTTTTAAACTTATTTAAATAAATCAGTCAATGCAATGTGTGATTGTTATGCTAATTATATGCAACATTATCATCTTCTATAGATACATATGTTAATTCTGTTGTTACTCTACAAAAAATCGCCTGCTCAACAAAAATGTAACAATAATTTATCTAGATTCTCCTTGTAAGAAGATACAGATGCTCTATGATAAATACAAAGATAAAGAATCTCCAAACTTCATACTGGCAGAAGGGATTGAGAGGTTTTGCAATGATTTGGGTTTAAACCCAGATGACTTTGAAGTTCTTGCAATTGCATGGAAATTCAATACAGAAACCATGAGCAGCTTCACAAGGTATTTTTTCTTTTGCTTTCATATAATTCTATTATTTTCATGTTTTAGTCAACTAAAATGTTGAAGAGGTGTTTGAGTGATGGCCTTGACTACAAGTAGAATTAAACTTGTGGTTCACGTTATTTGCAAATGTTTTAAAAGTGGAATGGTATTTAAAAGCTGCTCTAATCACAAAAAAGCACCTCACAACAATTTATGAAGACTTTGACACAACTGGCTGAACAGATAAACAGACGACAGGTGGTCTAAAAATAAATCAGACAAGCTCCCATCACTTCAATTTTGAATAAGGGTTACTGCACCTGCAGAATTTTCATGCAAAATAGATCTTTATACATTAAGTATACCAAATGAATCTTTTTATTGAACAAATTGTAACGATGGTAGGCATATTTTTCCCATGAATTGTCTTCACTTCAAATTGGACAATTGTTGAAACATGTGGTTATATCATGTTACCTTGTTTTTAAATGATTCTGCATATTTTTTCCATGTTCAATATAAAAAAGATGTGAAAAATGTTCCAACAATAAAATTTCAAAATATAAAAATGATTTTGTACAATCCGAAAATGCAGTTCTATGAATGTTAAATTTTATTAATGAGTTTCAACCCAATTATTTCAATAAAATTTTGCAGTGAAGAATTCATGAGAGGCTGCCAAAGTATACAGGCACTCACAATTCAAGACATCCAAACCAAGCTTCCAGAGATAACAAAACAAGCAAATGATAATTTTAAAAACTTCTACAGGTGGGCATTCCAGTTTGGTCTGGAACCCCCTCAAAGATTTCTTCCGCTTGAAATGGCAATAGCATTGTGGGAACTTATTTTTAAAAAAACCGACCCCTTTCCTCCTTTACTTACAAGGTGGTTAGATTTTGTTAAGACGCTGGACCTAGCGACAAGCTCCATCAAAAGAGACACTTGGGACATGCTCCTGAAGTTTTTGGAAACTTTCAAATCTCATGAGCAACTACTTAGTGAATACACAGACTTAGAAGCATGGCCTAGTTTATTTGACGACTACGTTGAATTTGAGAAAAATATTAGTGATAATAACAAAACGGATTCTAATCAATATGGTTGATATGACTGCGCTATTTTAGTTAAAATTTAGGGAATGTATAGCAATTTTTCTTTTCTTTTACGTTCCTGAAATACAATTTTTGTATCATAGGACGAAGATTTGCACTTTCATTCAAATGTTTAAAACTATTAATAAACAAACATGCGACTAATTATAATATTTTACCAATTCTCTTAGCTTTAACATCTTTTAACTGTTCATTTAAAGTGTAAAGTTTCGAAACTTAGGCTTCTTAATTATTTTTCAAATACTTTTTGTAGTTTTACCTGGTAAATTAATTTCAAAGTTAATTGCTGTCTGTTTACTCGTGTTACATCACATTGCTTAGTTTTTAATTTATTTTAAATATGAGCTGCACTAATTTATGCAAGGCAAAGTAAAAATTCATTTATGAAATATATCTTCTGTAGAAATTTTTAAACATTTATTTAGAGAATATCATAAGAAAAAAGGTTATAAAATCACGAAAATAATGATCACTACAATCTATAAATTCATAACGTAACTGTTCAAAAAAATAAACTAAAAGAAAACACATGTCATAAATTTACGGTCACGAAAATGACAAGTTGCAAATGATCTTTGTGAAATAGTTTGCTACGATGCACTGATAACTCCCATCATTGCCACAATCCCAGTGAGAAAAAGAGCTAAAAAATTTAATAAGTTAGTGCAAAATACTAATTAAACTAATTAATTAATGCGGTAAGTTTATATAAAACATTTATACTTCATTTCATTGGAATTTATATAAAAAAAGTTGAATTTTCTTAGAAATGTCTAGTAATTATGTGGAGACTTATTGTGTGTGTAGTGTACATAAATGAAGAGTTTGATCCAATTAACAATAGTAAAAATGGTGATAAAAATGTTAATGAACCTGGCAAATAGTAACCCAGTCCAATAGCCAAGAACAATGAGCAAATTGAAAAACAGAAGGATATAAACTGTAGGTAGGAAGGATGAATTAAAAAAAATATTACTAATTAATATGTTTGTAAACGTTAATTAAATAAAACCAATTAATTTTAATTTTTCAAGTGTCATCACAAGTAAACATGAATAAAATTGCCAGACTAAAGTGCGGTCTTGCAAAAATCTAAAAAATTCATTACTAAAAAATAAAATTAGTGAATTTTTTATATCTGCTATTCAAAATCCATGACTCTATACAGGAAGCATGCATAAAAATGATATTTAAAACATTTTACTGTTTGATTTTTCTATGTTCCTAGCAACCAAATTTGATTTCAAGATTGCATATTTGTTACATTGTTAGTGTGATTGTCAACAGGTGATGAAGTTCAAACACAATGTACCAATTGAAATGAATGAGTTTTAGATGAAATGAAAACAGACAGACTGCACTAAATGCTGATGTAATTTTGCATAGAGTGGTTGTATGGAAAAAGATGCATGTGATGCATACCATGAGTGGATGATCCTTTTTCATCTTGTTAATGCAACTGTTTCTTCTCATGACTAACTGCTTCAATTTAATTATTTTCGAACATAACGTTGTGAATATCTTCTCATTTTCTTCAGTCCTTTACAATCAATAGACCAATGTTTTACAATAAACAAGTTGCAAAAGCACCACAAATTTTTTTAAAAATATTAGAACAGCGTTGGACAATGATAATTATGATCAACATCAATATCTTAATGAAATTATATTTAAACATTATGAACATTTTTTTAATAATGGAAATTTCAACCATTCTGAATTTTGTCGGATGACAGAGAGGACTTTCTGCCTCAACAAGTCTGATGTGAAATAGATGATTCCGACCAGACTAACAATTGTCACAAATGATGGGCTAAAAAAATAAACCAATCTGCAAAAAAAAACAATTTCTGTCAAACTAATTGAAATTAAAATAAAAATTTTCTAAATGGACAGATTTTCTGATAACCCACAACAGTTCATAACTAGATTTGATACCATATAATGGAAATTTTCAGCTTTCTTAAATATCAAATATTAAATAGTCTCACATTTTGAATGCCAGTAAATAATAGATCCTTCATGTTATTTTATAATGGATATTAATAAACATATACATTACAAAATAACAAAAAGGCTTTACTATCTACTAAATTAAATATATGTACACGTGAAAAGGAAAGCAATTCAATCATTTCATCCAAAAATGAAATCTTCTGTTAATTTTTTCATTAATTACTTGTTTGATACTCAAAACTTAAAACCATTTGACTGTTCATGAATGTTAGCTTGCTTTCATTTATTAGGACAGGAAGATTAGAAAAGATCTTTCTTTATTCAAACTTTATTTAATAACAACTTCAAACATTATTGCATAATTTACAATACTCACCCAAGGAATGCTAAACTGAATAGAGAGATAATAATTGAACGTCCAATGTCCACTGTTGTCAACCCCCAAAATGCTTGGACCATTAATTCTCTATATAAGAAAAGATCTTTCTTCAAATTTTCAACTTCTTCATTTTGTACCTGAAAAGACAAAATCATTAAGAAGTTATGTTAAAAGATTTACAATTAAAAATGGTGGGCATTAAACATATATACATTTTCAATAGACTTTCAAAACTGCACCAGATATTGTTGAAAACATCAGTTTGCCAAATTTATTCAACAAAATGCTAGCTGGATGTTCATAATCATAATGTAAGCACCCCACTACTACATAATACATTCATTAACAGAAATTTACTAAACTTAAGAATATTTACTAAATTAAAGTGTACGATATCAAATAACCAAAGCAATTCAATCATTTCATTAAAAGTTGAAATCTTTTAATCAGACTAAAAATTTGTTTCTTTTTTTTCAATTTAGGTTTATTTATTTAATAATTTGTAAATTTTTTTCATTTTAAACCATTTGACTGTTTAAGACCATTTCCTTGCTTGCATTTATTAATACAGAAAAATTAGCAAAGTCATTCAATTCAAATTAATGCTAGGGCATCTACAAAAATTATTTTAGTTAGAAAGAATCAGAATGCTTTGATCAATTTCAATGCTATATATGTTTTGTATTGAAATTGTATGGTGATCAGATTCAATCAAAATTGCAACTCTAAAAAAAGATTCAGTGAATCAGTGATAAAGCACCAAGTGCAAAAAAGCAAAACGTACAAAATAAAACCAAACTAGAAACAAAGAATTCGATCATCATCATCGTGATGAATTGCATTTTGTTTCATTGTTTCAGGTTATGCTTGGCTGATATATTTCTTATTTCTATTGTTTTGTTTGAGAACCTGCAAGAAATTAAAACTGTTGCGAAGGTAGAACAAATACTAACGACGGCCTCCATTGCAGCTCGTGATTCTCTCTTGTTTTCTTGTTCAACCAGATAAAACTGCAAACAAAATGGGGAAACAGAAAAAACGGTAACCGTTGATGCCGTCCGTTGATCGCTTTCTTTATTGTTTTAGAAGCCCGTCGTTCACGTTATCTATTTAAAACCAAAGATACGTATTGTAAATTTTTACGAACAAACATAAAAATTTAGTTAACAAAATTAAGAATTATTGAATCTTACTACATAATATATTAATCAATATTCCTGTACATTTTTTGTTTCATTTAAACGAATTAGTATCTTTATTTTTATGAAGGACTTAGTTTATCTTCTAAGTATAAGGTATCATATGGAAAAGAGAAACACTGGCTACTTTCACGGATATCACTGGATAGTTCGTCATTTTCAAATTATAATTAATATAAATGACAATTAGAGACAACTGAACTTTACAAGAAGTGTCATTAACATAAAACACACATACAAAAAACACCGCGGATGACGAATTAACACTCAAGAAGACACCTGATTGAAGAACATTAACATTAACAAGCATGAAAATCTGTTTCCAATAAACGCGTCCATATTAAAATTCAATAACTCCAAATAACGTTATGATGTGAAAGATTAACTGCCTATAGATTGTAGCAATGATTTTGATTTTTAAAGGCTTAGCGCTGGTTCTTAGGTTGATTATTCATGAATATATATGTATATATATATATGTGTGTGTGTATAAATGTATATATATATGTATATACATGTATATAAATTCTACCGAATGTTTGGCGTTAATATGTTTGTAGTTCGTTTTTTCAAAAGATACAAGTTTTTTCAAAACTACCAACATATTAACGCCAAACATTCGGTAGAATTTATAGAATATTGTAAAAATTATGGTCTATTACCAACATATGTATATATATATATATATATATATATATATATATATATATATATATATATATAATACCCGTAGAAGTACTATTTGGAGTTGTATGCATGGATTATTATTATTATGTCTCTACTGCTGCAATAGATCAAAATCTGGTTCTGTTTGAATTAAATGAAAAACTAAGCCTTGAGAAACTGAGCCCACCCTTATAAAATTTAACTCCAGAAAATGCACCAGGTGTTGACTGTTTATCTCCAGACCTGTTCGAAAAATGCGAAAGTAAATTTTTACAGCATTAATATGACATTCTAATTCCATGGCAACGCTTGCGCAAAGGTGCTGGCTTCAGAATATGAGAAACGAGAAATATGTCCACCTAAACTGTTGACTGATCAAATCATTTCAATGTGGCACAAAGGAATATCAATAATGGTGAGAAACAAGTTTGCGTGTTTGTTCCTACGCTTTTCAATATATTCTTTGCCATTATATCCATCCTCTACTATCACCAGTTAAAACTACAACACACAACCTTTGTCAGCGCAAACATAACTATCAAGTCGCCACCCAATCTACATATCAGGAAAAGAATTTCATCACAAGACACATCAAACATATTAACACTCAATAAAACTTTATCATTCCCACAACTAGTTTTTATTTAATAAAACTTTATTATTCACAAAACTAGTTTTTATTTATCGATCACCTCACTAACTCACTAAAAGTTATCATCTAGCCTATTAATTTGCGTTTTTATGCCATTACTTCATTTTATTGTCAATTTATTTTATTTCATTTATTTCATTATTATTATTTATTTTATTCAATTTTATTTTATTTCTCATGTTTAAACATTTTTCTTTCTGAGTTTTTTTTTATTTATTTATTTACTTATTTGTTTAATTTTGTGCTACTGCCTTGCATGTTGTAACAGCTTCTGCGTCTGTCAGATCCTGATTTTTAAAGAATAATAATAATAATCTTTAAGTACGTTTTCGGTTCATCGACAAAGGACATTTCCCCATTCTAAGTTTATTATTATTTATTTTAAACAGCGTTATATATATATATATATATATATAATAAAAATATATAAAATTATAATATAATTATGTTATTTATAATTAAAATTATTTATTCTACATCTAATGTAATGAACAAAAAAACAATTTATAGAATATATGGAATATATGTTATATAATACATATATGTGAAACTTATTTTTTACAGCAGTTAACTTTTATTCATGTGATAATTCCGCCAATTCTGTAGTTGATTCAATTTTAACTCGGTAAATTTTCCTCCTTACTCTATTCGTTTTTTATCACCGATTCAAAGCAGATTATATTTTATTTGTTAAACGACCGCTGAAGGGGTTAGTGTTTTAACTTTTAGACAGTGTTATCTGTTATGTTATTCATTGTATGCAATTATATTCAGCATTAAAATTAAATTAAATGGATGGTAGAAATGAAATAGAAATTATCCTTAAAAGTATGAACTTATTTATTTGACTAGTATAGCAAGTCTTGATTAGTTGCTTAGTTTGTTTTGTTTTCTTCACTCTTATGTGAATTTGTTGGATTCTTCGCTAACCCAATTTGAATTTTTTTTAGTTTTAGACTTTTTTCTGTTTACCCTACCGTCAATGCTCTATTTTTAAATTTTTGTATTGTGAATATCATTATTTAGATTAAAATGTCCGAACTTGAGGTTGATGCTCTAACTGATGAGCAAGTTTTGGAGAAATTGGTGGAATATGGTGAAAGAGTGGAGACAAAAGAACGAAAATTAAATGAAGCCCAAAAACAAATTCATAGAAAGAAATTGAAACATATTGAAGCCAGGAAGAAAATGAAAAGAGAAAAGGCAGAAAAGCAGTCTGGCGTATGTACTGCTATAGTTTTTTTTCATCTTGAAAATTATTTCATTTACTAATTAGTGGTTTTAAAAGGTGTTTAAATAATTATATTGATTAAAAAATTTACTGACGCTTTTTTATAGTCAAAATCAATTGATCTTCTTTTTTTAAATACATGTAAAAATAATTTTACAGTTAAGTCTGCAGTGTTAAAATTTCATATAATTTTAATATCTAATATGCATATCAATGCATATATATATATATATATATATATATACATATATGTATATATATATACTTAATTGTATATATATTATTTATTGATTTATTGATTGTTACTTATTTTTAAAAAATACATTTGATAAAATGCTTATTTTCAGTGTTTATATATGTTGTTTATATGCTTTGTTTCTATATTTGGTTTTTTTTTCAATTTTGATTTTGATTGTTAGTCTTTGATATGTTGGGCTTTTTATATTTTTCTTTCTATATGGACAGATAGTGTTCCCAATGTTAAATTGGACAAGTCAACTTAAATCAAAGAAAAATATAAAAAGCCCAACTCATCAAAGACTAACAATCAAAATCAAGTGAAAAAAGCCAAATATAGAAACAAATATAGAGTTTTAAACAAATCTAATAACATGACAAACGTAAAAAGTACAGGTTCGAGAACAGCAAAACGTAGAAAGATCATTCATTTTATGATATTCACCAACCCACAATTGATCAACTTTGCAATTTCTAAATCATCCCCTTCTCCCAAAGTTTTTGCCACTGTTTGCTGCTATACCATTAACTTTTACCCTTTTTTTTTAGAAGCTTCTAATAAATATTGGTTGACGCCTCTGAAAAAGATTTTAATCAAAATATTTCTGATCTAATGAATTGTCTTTAGGCTGATATCTTTTTTGATAAATTCTAATTAATGTAATTTATTTTAATTTAGAATAACAGAAGAAAAACAATTATTAGCAAACAAGCTGTCAGTGATGAAGTTCTGAACATTAAATCACCGAATGTCAATTTATTAGAACCCAACAATGCCGTTGATGATCTCAACAGCACTTTTGTTTTGTCAGGTGATCTTCAAAAACACTCCCAGATGTTACAAATATCTATGGTTGAATTATTTTTTTTATTTCAAAGTTTTTTCAGTTTCATTTTTAATTATAAAATTTGATGCTTCTTAGTCTAGCCCGGCTAAACCAATTAATCCTAAAAGCCCGTTAGCTTTGGAAGTAATAAATTCTGTTACTGGTTGCCCATTTGTTGGCGTGGAAGTTTCGTTGTATGGCTTAAATAGAGATGGAATGTGGTTGCAACTTGCTGAAAGGTAGGGTTTCGTGAGGTTATGTTTGTTATTTTGATAGTCTTGTCTTTGAATCACGTTTGTCATCAAGCCGTTATAAAAATTTTATAGTGATTTGGTGAATGGATTACATTTTCACAGGATAACAGATGAATCAGGTATGTGTCCAAACATTATAACTCGGGATTTGTTCACTTCTGGATCATACAAAATAAATGTCAACATCGCCAAATGTTTTGGAGATGCTTCATCTACCTTGAAATCAATTGAAATTGCCCTTAACATTCTTGCTCATAAATCATACAGTGTCAAGGTGTTTGCGTCACAACGCAATAGCTCTATTTTTATTTGTGAATAAGATTTTACAGTTTTTTTTATCATTAACTTTCTTGAACGTTGAAGCATTTTTTCTTTATAAATTGCGTTTATATGTTTTGTTAATTAGAATCAACATTATAATCTCTTCACCAACTCGTTTGTTGTACATTGAAATGTCCAGCATGAAATTCTTTTTAACCGTTCGTAAGTTAATTTTAGTGAAACTGCTGCTGACTCATGACAATGGTAATTTTTATATGTGGCGTTCGATTTTACTAGGCATGTATAAAATCGATAACAGCAATTAAATCGGCATCAGGTCATGTTGAAACGAACAGGGAATTGTAATGATAGATTGACATCAGATAATTACATGTAGAATACATTTCATTCGATTTAATTGTCAACCTTATCGCTTATCAAAACATCCTATAAAAGAGCAGGTATATAAAATATATGTGCGAGGGGGCAGACTAAAAATATAGGGGTTTCGATATGAAAATCGTTAACTATGCCAAAAATCGTTAACCATATAAAAGAAGTCGTCAACTTTTTTTAAATCAGCCCACGATATCCCAAGCGATAGTTCATTGAACTCAACATCATATCATGTTTCAGTTTGTTGGTTGGTTGATCCTGTCCGTTTCACGTTCTGACTCAACTTTTGCGTGTTAAGCTATTGTGGCTCATATTAGTACTAAAATGTCTGTCGTTTTGAAAATTAAAAAAAAATTGTTTGCGATTCAGCTGATAATAATAATATTAAACAGTTGCGGTTTTTATTTGTATCGTTCAGCTGATAACTATTAGATTAAACAGTTGCGGTTTTTATTTGTATCTTTCTTATTTTCTTCTTTTGTCATGTTACTTTTTTGTATGTAAATCGTGAATTTTACGTGCCAATGATTGCTTCAGATTAGATGTGTCATCCATCTTTGCAGTTGTCCATGATAGCGATAATGATGGTTATTAAGCTTCATTATTCATTGCTGTCTCTGGGCTGTTGTGATGATGTTTACAAGTGACGTGCTAATAACAGATTGAAAATATGATGACCGTTGGTATTACCTCACGATGTTTCGGCGATGATGGCGATGATAACACTGTCCTTGATGATGTCGATTGTGAAAATGATCCGTAGTCGAAGCAGTGGTGAAGATGGTTGTTATTATTTCCAAGTGATGACATGGGAAAATGATGATGGAATGAGCTGAGTTGGATGGAACTTAGTACAAAATGATGATGACAAAGACGATGATAATTCACTCATAATGACGATGGTTTGAAGACACATCGGCAGCTTAATAAATGAAATTAAAAGAGATTGTTAGTTTCTTATGCAATGAAGTGGTGGTCACATTGGTGCGAAAATGATGATGATGGTGACTGTGTATTATTGTCAGTTGTGATAATATTATGTAAGAATAAACTCATGTTCGATATAACATCATTGAGATGATCAATCAATCAATTTGTATTTATATAGCGCAACTTTTAAAAATTCAATTGTCCTCTCACTTAAATTCGCCAAAAAATTCAATTACCAAGAAGCGAAAATTAGAATAATAATATTAGAATAAAGTAATTAATGAAAAATAAACATCTTCAGAGCTGTTCAGTTTGCGAGTTTATTTAGACAGTATCTAAACAATCTATCCAGCGATGATTTATGGTAACGTTGCCGATGAAAAATGATTAGAAATGTGATGTACGTACAGCAACGATGATGTCCTGATGAGTATGCAGATGTTGTAGATAATGATTAATATTATCAATAGAATGATATCATTCGCAATATCACCATCATTCAGCTAATACTAGTTTGAAAAAATAATTAAAAACGGGTAGAATATGAGAGTGATGATGATTATGATGATGATGGTGGTGGTGGGTGATGATGATGCCGACCATGGTGATGTTGACGATGTTAATTGTTATTATTGTTATCCTTATATTACGTCGAGTATAAGATGCTGATAATGATGACGACGATGGTGATGATTGTGATCCGGTCAGTCAGCAGGCCCGGGAGAATGGTTCGTGACGAAACGTTTCAAATTTTGAACAACTCAAACAAACGAACGAGAGAAAATCAAAATACATTAACTGATCACGTATAGGCTGCGTGTGTGTGTGTGTTAGTGTATTAGTGTGTGTGTGTGTGTGTGTCTGTGTGTGTGTGTGTGTGTGTGTTAGTGTTTGTGTGTGTGTGTGTGGGCGCGGTGTGTGTGCGCAGTGTGTGTGTTGTGTTTGTGTGTGTGGTGTGTAATATTAAATAATGGTTTTATTTGAACAACAACAAGCAACAACAACATAGAAGACATCACCACACAAGCACAACAGAACAACTGCATCATTTGAATTTTATTGAGAGCAGTTTGTCGTTATTAATCATTTCGTAAGCAGACCACCGCTGGTTATCACTTTCATGTCCAACAAACTAAAGATAAGAAAACTTCAGTGTAAGAAAGAACCATGAAATCACAGATAGCATAACGACCGTTTCAAAATGTTCACCAACAACACTCCTACAACAATCGTCATTGAAATGTTGTTGATGTTTTTACCGAAACATCATCAACATCACATTATTACTGTATCAAGCGAGGCAATCAAACAAACAACAACAAATACCAAACGATGAACATCTGCGTCAGCGTAAGCAACAAACTTACACCATGACAACAACAAACAACTACAACAAAAACAACCTCTAAAACAACACTCAGCATTTACATCAACAATAAGACAACAACAAACATCTAACACAACAAAGAAACAAATATCAAACTAATTCGAAGTTCATGAAAAATGATAAGATAAGTATGAACGGAGAAGCATAGAAATCGATGCGTGCAATGAAACAAGTTCATGGTGATGTGTTCAAGTTGATTATTTTCATGAGAACCAGTTGGAACCTTCTCTTTGATATTCATTCTTTTGCATATCTATCTTTTCACATTTCATTTTCAATTGATCTACAGGCTGCTTTCATTGAAGTTGAAACTTCGGATGATGATTATGATGATGATAATGTTAATGTGATTGTAATGGTGGTGCTAATGACGATTGTGATTATAGTAATAATAATAATGATGATGATGATGATGGGGGTGGGGGTAATGGTGAACATGAGGATGATAATTGAACTGATGATTCGCTTACGTCAATGGTGAAGATTTAAATGAAAGTCTTAATAGAAAAGTGAAGCGTGAATATTGCGGATTCAATGAATGTACATATTTGCTTTTTATATTTCGTTACAATTGTAATTAATAATAAATTTAATTAATTTTAATAATATTCAAATCTGAAGATACGATTCAAAAATTCAAAAATACCATTGCATTTGCAAATATTTAAATTTGTAAAAATTATTCCGTAGTGGGTGAAAACTCAATAAGAAGAAGATAATGTGACAACATACCACGAAGAATGTCACAAACACATGATGTACGATACGCTACATCAACATCAAGATCTTCTCATATACAATTACCATCGTTATTTGGTTTGGAGGATAACAGGCAGAACAAGACATTACATTACAATTACGCTAACATTGTGTATAACATCAACGCCAGTCGTTACAACACTAAGTTGATGTCATTAGCCAACATCAGTTTAACGGTACATCGAATTGACATTACAGCAACGTTTTAACATTACAAAAACATCCTGACATCAACGTCACAGCATTTCGGCATCAATATCGTCCCAACGTCACCTCATACTAAATTGATTCAATTGAATACGACTCCCATTAAATTGAATATTTGACAAAGCTTCACAGTTTCAATCACACAACGACACAACATCACAAGATGACAACATCACAACTACAAAACAACAACAACATCATATCAACAGAACATCGCAATCATTACAATAACGAATCGCAACACAAGAACAAAATCCCAACACTACAACAATGCAAAAAAACTACATCACAACATGACATCACAACAACACAACAATACAAAAAACAACGTCATGACATCACAACAACACAACATCACACATTCTTCTTGATGGTAGCTCAGGGCGTGAAAATAAACAAATGCTTGAAATTTCACACGCACACACAGACAATGGATCTCTAGACTTATATCTGGATGAAAAATTGAAAATCGGTCTTTGACACCAAAATAAAATTATGTCATTTTCAACAGACTTTTCAACAATTGACGCAAACAAGTTTTTCTATTTTGAGCCCTTGAAAATTTTTTAAAAAATGTTTTCAGAATTTTTTAATGAGTTGGAAACCCTCCAACAATTCTAAGAAAAATGGGTTGATTTGTTTGAAGAACTACGACATGACTTTCCATAATTTCTACACATAAATTATTGATTTAAAACTTTTTGTTAACTGCTGCATTATCTACTGATTATCTACTGGTTATTACATTAACATTAAGTCTTGTCAGCATCGTCATAACCTCAATTTAACATTCATGTAGTTGGATTGATGCTAAATTGTTTGTAGGATACATAGCTACAATGTCCTTACATTTGTGGCACAATGACTTAATCATGAAGCAGACTATTGTGCCAGTTACTTCTTCATCAAATGTTAACCCAGTCATTCCACTCTTTGCACTGCACAAACACACACGCAACATATGATACACAAGCATACATACAGAGAGAGAGAGAGACAGACACACACATGCGCGCACCCAAGCACACCCACTCAAACAGACATTATTAACATCATTAACGTTATTAATTAATTTATTTACCCATTTGCGACGTTTTCATTCTTGTCACTCAGGCATTCAGACGAATCAAGTCTTTTTGCGAGCAACGAATTATTTCAATAAATTTAAAAAAAAAAATTTCAGCGTTTTTGATTATCATATTAAGATTTCTTTTTTGCTTATCTTTCATCAGCATTAAAATGATATTTATTAATCGATGGATGAGGAACGTGAAAAAAAAAGATGCTTAACAAATTTGTATCAACATTTCGCCCAACAACCGAATTCTTAAGTTATCACCATCACACCACCACCACGTAAACACATACCACCACAACATCACCAAAACATCACCACATAATAACAGGAAAGCATTGTAGAGCATTGATTGGAAGTTGCACTCACATCACACCTCATCAACCAACTCACATTTCTCTCGGCAATCAGCGTCACATAACATTCTCGAACAGTTACACTTCCAATTATTCAAATTGAATGTTCGAGTTGGTTAACACTTGAAAATTGAAAATTTGCATCACGCAGCAAGCAAATGAACCATGGGAAAAAATTGATTATTTAAGAAACAAATGAGACTTGAGAAATAAATTATAGAAAGGACTTGTTAGAAATAGAGAATATCCACAATTATAAATGTCCTCCGACTAACATGAAATATCAAATAAACGATATAACATCTTGTGATTAAAACAACAGCATTTTTGTGTTATTTGTCGTTGTCGTTGTTGTTGTTGTTGCCTCTACGTGCATGTAATTTTAAAATGATCATTCCATCATACTTCATACATCATCTTCATCATATAAGTGACATGGCAAACAAACATGCTTCAAAATGCTCCTCCTCTGATGAATTCAAATTCATTGAACAGATTTCGG